CTCAGCTATAAACTAATAGGCCCTTTACCTACATTGAACCAGTCCCGACACTAACCAATTCATGATCTGCACTGAACCTGCCCAGACACAAAACAACTCAACACTGAACCAATCTCAGGATAAAATGCATTAATAATACGATTCTCTGACATGGACTAACTCTCCACAACTGCCCTGAACCAACCTCAACAGACACTGACTCCACACCTTGTCACGGTATCTTATCTCTGGGTGAGAATTACACAATGTTTAAGTGCACTCTGAAAGAGCGATCCTTCTCTTCACAATTTTGCAGGTTGTGAGGCAGTAACCAATAGAGTAACATTATCCCAAACCTCTTACAAGTTCCTGAAATTCAGAGTTTGCATAATTAGTAATGTTAGAGTCAAGTGTCAGTGAAAACTCCAAACCTCAACAACTCTGGTTCATCTCCACCTCCTCCCTTTTATACCTCAAATGTGCCCAAGACACATTTTTACCCAATTAATCCTGAGCATCTGGGACCCCTCTCTACGATCTCAAACATTCACCCTATTTTGATTAGTCCTTTACTACCTCACAACCTGCACTGAACCAACTCGGACACAAACTAATGATCGACAAGTGCTCCAAACCATCCCTGGCATAAACTGACTCTCAACCAGTAAACTGAACCAACTTGGACAGATACTGGCTCTGGGCAAACAAAACCAACCTTCAGCTACTCTGTTACCCAAGATCAAGCAAATTTACTGTCTTCAGAAGATTATAACAGATACCATCAAATCTGATTTGTCTAACCTCAATCTCTGTTATTCCTACAATCTGGGTCAATGAACTGAACCCTCAACCCAAACTGTGAGCTCCACACATTAATCCAGCAACATCTCCTCCATCCTGTCCCTCTCAAACCCCAGTCTCCGTTACTAACGACTTCTAATCTCAACCTCCAGTGTGAGCCAGAGTTAATGCTCATATGTGTTTGGATGTCAGACATCCTGCATGAAATCCACATAGTGTTGCTAAACCTCTGGAGTGTGGAAAGGTGCAAGAAAGAAGGATATACAACCTTTGCCATCAGCATAGTGTTCCCACTAGTACAGACTTACCCTAACTTATCCTCCAGGAATCCCAAGGTGCTAGAGAGAGAAAGAGGGCGTGAGCTTCAGTCGTCAGCATTTGGTTCCCATTAGTACAGACTTGGCTTCGGGTGACAATAATAATAGTCCTTGCATTTGATATAGCGCTTTTCACGTCTTTGACATCTCAAAGCGCTTCACAGAATAGACCGTAAAGTGAATTGACCATATATTTGTGGGCAAAGCACAGCAGCCAATTGCGCATAGCAGCGTCCCACAAACAGTCGTGGATTGAAAATGATCAATTTATTATTGTTTTGTTTTTTGGAGGGATTATTATTAGGTGTGTGGAGTAAGGAAACTTGCCCAAGGTTTCGCCCTCCCTGAAATTGAACCCAGGTGTCTCGCTTGCAAGGCGAGTGCTCTAACCACTGAGCTACAGCACTCCACCGAACAACTGAGCTCAGCCCATTAGTCACTTACATCTCCCACAATTTTCAGCTGCATCTCATCTCCAAACAATTCCTAGTTGGACGTCTTTGACCAAAATCTAGATGATGGTTTAAAGACTAACACTGCAAAATAATAGTGATTCTGTCATCACCATCTCTGAGACGAGTTACACAATACAAAGAAAAGTCGGACAGGTCAAGAGATGTTCACATTAATCCGAGATGGATGGCAACAAGGTCTCCAAAGTTCATTGATGTATGCATACCCAGTGATCATCTGGTGTGAACAAGCATTAGACCAGCGTTCAAAAGTAACACAAACCTGCACTGGCTCCAGGACAACCTCTGACTGAAGCGGAAACAACAGAACTAAATACTGAGAGAAGAGCAAAGGTTAGAAAACCAAAAGTGATAATTAACTGAGTTGCTCCAGAAAGAGAAACAGTTTAAGAAAATAAACACAAAAAGGCAAGAAAAACACTATTGGGCATATGGGCAAGTGAGGACAGTTACCCTAATAAGTGCCTGTGACATATACATACTATACATAGTATAAAAATAAAACAAGTTAGGAACACAAATTTAGCTTAAAGCGTCTGATGTAGTAGCCATTACAGAGACCTGGCTACAAGTTGGGCATTACTGGGAGCTAAAATTCCAGGCTGTAAAATCTTAGAAAGGATAGGGAAATTGGGAAAGGAGGGGAGCAATATGGATAACATTCAAGTATAACAGTAGATAGAAAGGACTTTAGTAAAGGTGATCAGGCCACAGAAACACTATGGGTAGAATTAAGGAACAGCAAAGGAGGGAAGACTCTGGTGGTAGTTGTCTACAGATCTCCAGATAGTAACAAAACAGCAATTGTTTTTGAGACAAATTACACAATAAAAGGAGAAGCCAAACTGGCCAAGAGTTGCTCACAATTGACATGGAGAGCAGGTGGACAGTGATAATGTCTCTGAAGCTCACAAGACTGACAACACCCAAGGTTTGGACAACTTCCCTTCACAAACATTACTGTCCACCAGAAGGTTCTCACAAATACAGACTTACCTGATATAGTCCATAGAGAGACCAGCCTGAGCCAAGCTCCACCACATGCAAAATGACCATTTCACTGCTCTGAACCACAAGCCTCCAGCAACTCATCTGCTCTCTCTAAGCTGATGAGGTGACTCCTTCCACCAATGGTTTGACTGAGCTCAGCCTCTGCGTTAAATACACAAAGGTTCAGGTTTGACATGTGGCCAATGAGCGAATCTCATTCCTCACAAGGTCCAGTTGAAGGGAACATCCTCCCTTCACAGCTGCAAACAGTCAGTATCATCACATGCCCATCATCACATTGGCTGGTTCAGAGAATTCACAGGGTTTACATTCATTACTTTAGAGCATTCACACTTTCCTAGAATTTCCTATTGAATGCTTCAGAGACACCATCAAATCAGATCACAAACACTTATAGGTGTGAGAGAGGAGAAAGATTGCAATAGAGAGAAAGTGTGATAGAGAGGAGAAAGTCCTGTAGTTCAGTGGTTAGAGCATTCACTTTGCAAGTGAGAGACCTGTGTTCAATTCCAGGCAGAGGGTGAAACCTTGGGCAAGTTTCCTTACTCCACACAGAGCCTAATAATAATCCCTTCAAAACCCAAAACAATAATAAATTGGTCATTTATTACAGACCTGTCAGCTTAACATTGGGGGTAGGAAAGATAATGGAATCCTTACTGAAGGAGATAATAGAAAAACATCTAGAAACGGAAAACATAATAAAGAATAGTCAGCACGGGTTTCAAACAGGAAGGTCATGCTTGACTAACCTCACTGACTAACCATCTTTCAAGGGGTAACAGAAAGAGTAGGCAAGGGAAATGTGGTACATGTAATATATTTAGATTTCCAAAAGGTGTTTGATAAGGTACCACATGATAGACTTATGAATAAGGTCAGAGCATGTGGAGTCAGGGGGGAAATAGCAGAATTGATAGTAAGTTGGCAACAAAACAGCAAACAGCCCCTGGAGCTCTTGGACCTCTTGGAGCCCCTGGAGCCAGCCCCGGCGAGCCGGAGCCAGGCCCGGCGAGCCCGAGCCAGGCCCGGCGAGCCCGAGCCAGGCCCGGCCGAGCCAGGCCCGGCGAGCCCGAGCCAGGCCCGGCGAGCCCGAGCCAGGCCCGGCGAGCCCGAGCCAGGCCCGGCGAGCCCGAGCCAGGCCCGGCGAGCCCGAGCCAGGCCCGGCGAGCCCGCCCCAGCAAGCCCGCCCCAGCAAGCCCGAGCCAGCCCCAGCAAGCCCGAGTCAGCCCCTGCAACCCCGAATCACCCCTGAAATGTAAGAAACCTAACGCTAACCCAGCACCCTACAACCTAACCTTAACCCCTAACCACTAACCCTTAACCCTAACCCTAAATTTCCACCTGTGTGCGGATGACACCCAACTCTACCTCTCTGCCTCCACCCTGAACTCCAAGATTACTGGCGTCCTGACCGACTGCCTGTCCGACATCAAGTCCTGGATGAGGGCCAACTTTCTCCAACTCAAGGTCAGCAAGACCGAGGCTCTGCTGACTGGCTCGCGCCAGCGCCTCCGCGCTTCAGGCGCTGGCAGCATCAGCCTCCACGGCTGCACACTCAACCTCACTGAGCCAGTCAGGAACCTTGGTGTCCTGTTGAGCTGTCATTTCTCCCCCACATCTGCACCATGACTGGTACTGCCTACCACCACCTCCGCAACATTGCCAGACTCCGCCACTGCCTCACCCCTCAGGCTGCCCAAACCCTCACCCACGCATTCCTCACAAGCTACAGATCATCCCAAACTCTGCAGTTCGTGTGCTCCCACGCACCGGGCTCCGTGACCCCATCCCTCGCCCGACCCCACTGGCTCCCCATCCCCTAGAGGATCAAGTTCAAGATCCTCGTCCTCACTTTCAATGCCATCCATGGCTTTGCCCCCTCCTACCTCTCTGACCTGCTAGCTCCCTACCAACCTGCCCGCTCCCTCCGTCCAGCGGGCTCCGGCCTGCTCCATGTCTCCCGCCCGACCCGCCTTACCATCAATGGCCGGGCTTTCAACCTCTGCCCCCACACTCTGGAACTGCATCCCACGGTCCCTTCGCCTTGCTTCCTCTCTTGCCTCCTTCAAGGCCGGTCTCAAGACCCTTCTCTTCGATCGTACATTTGATCTCCCTCCCACCTCTCTGCCTTCCCTCACCCCTACACCACCCTTCCCCCAAACTCTGGCCCCGACATCTGACTGTTCAGCTCTTTGGGACATCCTCCCAACGTGAAAGGCGCTCTATAAATGTCAGTTTGTTGTTGTTATACGTGGGGACGTCAGCGCATGTGCCCGCAGGACTGCAGTTGCCACTGTGTGGATGTCAGTGGCTGTAATACGTCCGCAGAACCGCAGGTGGTGCTGGTTGTGTAGCAGGTGCTCGTTCCAGTGCTGTGTGGACACTTGCTGCACAAACGATTTCAGCCAATCAGGAAGAGTATTGGATTAGCAATTTAATCATTATATAAAGTAAAAATAAGTGAAAGTGCACGGCTCCAATACACATTTCCATTCATTCATATTCATCTAAAAGGTAGAGAATGAAACAAACGGGGGTTTCCCTTATGGCACCCACTCTATACAGTGGCATTAGGTCATTGCTCTATTCCAACACTCAGCTGTTTGGCATCTGCCCAAATCTCTGTACAAACATAATTTCATTTGAAAAAGTTTCAATTTCCAGCCAGTTTAAGTAAACTTACAGTATGGGGATGATCTTAAGACAATGGAACTATATTTTAGTTTCAATCTGGCCTAATGTGGATCACCACAAAATAGGTCTTGCATTCCATGCAGAATTAAGACTTACCTCACAGAGGCTAGGAGGCTAATGACTAAAAGTTGCATTGGGCGAGGGATCAAAATCCAAAATACCAAAGACTGTTATTAGAGCTTGTGAAGTGTAACAATTTTTTGCATAAATTGCTAATCAATTACTTAGTGCCCTGAGTTTCTCATTAAAATTGAACAATTGAACAATGAGGTGATTGATGCAAGGGTAACATCATCCCTTATTTGGTACTCTACATCGCTTTCACTTTGATCTGTTTCATCTTCATCTGTCGCTTCTCCAGCTTCTTTTGTTCACGGCGTAGAACAGCTTCCTGGAAGGGAGAGGTGATAATTAGACCAGATGAGAAAGAAACCGAAATCCACAGCAGTTCAGAAATCTTATATTAAATATTAGAGCAGTGTGTAAGATCAATATTCTGCAAATTTATTAGCTTTTAACAAAGTCTCAGCCACATCAAGCAGTGGTTTGGTTTCTCTTTTAGCGTAGAAATAGGTTTCTGCATGTATCATCATGCTGACAAAGAAGACTGCAGTAGTTAATTTTCACATTGGAAGGAAAGTGTAACAACTGTGTTTTGTGGGCACTTCAACAGCCGATTTGTGCATAGCAGTGTATTTACTACCTTCCCTAGCAACTTGTTTAAGAGTTGTAAATTAACCTCTGCATAAAGGAAAACTTCCTGGTACTTTCCTGAAATTTTTCTTTTGCAACTCTGGTAACTGCTGCTCTGGCAGATTTTTATTCTGTACCTCGAGCCTGCGTTGTTTATCTGGATCCTCCTCATTCATGATCCTTTCTTTCTCTGCACGCTTTTTCTCCTCTCTCCGTGTTTGTGCGGCTTCCTGCCGTTGGGCATGAGTCATCTTCAGGAAATTTTCCTCCACACGAGCGCGATTCTTATCAGCCTTCATCTTACCCTGGGAAAAGTGGAAAAATTAATGCTATGAATCAGAAATTTCACAGGAAGTCATTTGGCCCAGAATAATACTTTACGATGCACCAAGATAGTAGAGCAAGAGGACAAACACCAGGAAGTTTTTCTCTTACTCTATGTGTTCTTACCTCACGGTTCAACCGGTACTTCTTTGCCTTGTCAATGCTGTAAACAACCATGTTCATCAGTGGCAGCAAGGATTCCATGTCCTTTGGAGAAGTGTTGCCCAGACCAGGAACTACATAAAGAGACCTTTAAGAGTTTAGCTGAAGAAACATTAATGGAAAAAATCTCGTACTAACTGTGCACAAACGATACTAATATTTTCCTTTATTGTTTTGAGCATGACCCCAAACGTAATGCCCTCTATTTACTGATTCAATGTGGAAATTTACAAATTACTCTGTACTCTGTTTACACACTCAACTCCAAACTGCTGCTGTCCTGACAGATTGCTTGTCGGACATCAAGTCCTGGAGAGCCAATTTTTGCCAGTTTAATGTCGACAAGACCAAGACCTTCCTGCTTAGTTTCCATCAGTGTCCCCTCACCTCAGATGCTGACAGCATCACGGATATTCTCTCCACCTTACTGAGCCAATACAGAACCCTGATGTCTTTTTCAACCCTCAACTGGGTTTTAAATCCCACATCTGTGCTTGGACCAGTTCTGCCTTCTCCCACCTCAGCAACGTTGCCCGCCTCCACCACTACTTCTCCCCTCAGGCTCCTAGCATTCATGCTCTTTATGTCTAGGCTTGACTATAACTCCCCTGCTCTCCAGACTTCCCAACTCTTCACTCCACAAGCTGCAGATTATTCAGAACTTTGTAGCTTGTGTCCTCTCCCACACTCAGCTCTGTGAGCCGATCGCCCCCATCCTCACCCAGCTTCCCTGGTTCCCCATCCCCCAAAGGATTGAGTCCTTTTAAAGCATTCCACGGTCTTGCTCCTCCCTACCTCTGTGATTTACTAAAACATTACCAATCTGTCTGCTCCCTCCTCGGTGAGAACCAACCTGCTCCATCAGCAGTAGGACCTCCAGCCTTTTTGCCCCCAACCTCTGGAACTACCATCTCCAATTGAATGTCGACAAGGCTCTCCACCTTGTCCCCTCCTTTGCCTACTTCAAGGCCCATGCATCTCCGCGACTGACTCCTGCTCATCCCTCGCACTCTCCACCCCACCATTAGAGGTTGTGCTTTCAGTCACTACGCATCAAAACTCTGGATCACTCTCCCTCAATCCCTCCGCCTTGCTTCCTCTCCCCCTTCTTTCAAGTCCCGCCTGAAAACTTTCCTCTTCGACGTGGCTTGCGGCAACCTCGCCCTCCCCCCGTATCAGAGTCAGGCTCCGCAACTGTTAAGCGCTCTGAAACACTACCCTGCATGGAAGGTGCTATATAAGTGCAAGTTGTGTTGTTGTTGTTGTCTCAAGATCTTCCTTTACAACCATGCATTTAGTCATCTTCCCCCACCCCATTGCCTCCAACCCCCAGCTTGAGTGCAAATCCTTAACTGTCCAGCGCTTTGAGATGTCCTCCCAACGTGGAAACCGCAATATAAATGCAATTTGTTATTGTTGTTGAACATTGCTTCTTTGTTTTTGAATTCTATGTTCTAATTTATAAAACCTATGATCCCATTAACATTTTATATAGTTTTGCCTACTTATTGTGCTCCATATAATTTAAAGAGTTCAGATTATATATAAATATATATATATATGAGAGAGACACACAGATTGAGTAAAGGGAGAGATACAAAGCGAGTGAGGTTTGATCAATGACCACTGTTTACCACTCCAGGCTGAAAGCATCCATTTAGCCCTTGTCATTTTTTGTCATTTAGTCATTCTGTCAAATTTCTATCCATTATATATCAAATTAACAAGTGATTTCTCATGATGGGAGAAAATAAATACAAACCTGGACTTACCGTTAAATGTAAACAGTAGTGTCTTTTTAGTATCAGGCAGCTTGAGGGGCTGGCCCTCTCTAAACAAAAACAAACAATAATCATTGAATTGAAGAGGTAGGCACACCATCTTATTTCCATCAATTTTTCTCCCATCCCACTCAGTTGTGGAGAGGGGGAGAGGAAAGATGAGAAAATCGCAGCTGAGCCAAGCACATACACTTTCCAGCAGAAATATTTGGATAACGACCAATTTCCTTCTCCTAAATTAGCCCAACTATTCTCCTGGCAAATACGAAAAAAAAATTCAAAGCTAAATATAGACAGGCTAGGGATGTGAGAAGATATGACAATGCCTTTCATGTTTGAACACTAATGTACATCATATACTTTGAGAAAAAGATGTATTTTACAAACAAATTCTACAGGAATTAGAAGAACAAAGAATTATGGGAAAGCAGTTTGGTAGATAGACCCAGGGTTTTATAAACCGAGGCACTGAAAACAAAGGACAAAAGCATTAAGTATTAGGTACAGTTTGGGACCCCATTGTAGAAGACAGAGATTTGAATATGATGCAGCATAGACAGTGACTAGATGTAGTGGGCTTCACATCCATTTCCCAAAACTACGCTGTGTGCAATATCTTCCTACAGTGTGAAGAGTCACCATGGCAAATGACTCTCATCATTACAAAAGCCTGGAAGTTTCCAATTGTCCTCTTAGTAAACATGTGAGCAAACAAGCAAAGGACAACAACAACAGCAGGACAGTAACTTTCCTCCCATTGGGGAGTTTTTGGGCGTAGTAGTTGACAGCACCGCCACTGATGGTGGAACAGAGGGCACAATGGACAAGGAGGGGAGGCCAGAGTCAGTTGAGCGGAGGCAGCAGGGAGTGGGTTGGGGAGTAAGCAGGTCGGAGAGTTAGGGAGGTGCCAGGGCAGGAAGGGATTTGAAGACAAGTGTGAGGATTTTGAAATCAATCTGTTTGGTAATGGTGAGCTAGTGGATACCTACTCTTGCATTATTTTAGGCCCAGAGAACTGATCCGAAAAGTGAATGGACTCAATTTTATCATCATGAGACGAGAGGAAATGCACCATCTGGAAACAAAGAAAAAAACATGCTTGAACTCTGTATAGAAGGAGTACCTTCAGCATTTTCATCTACATCATTAAAATCTACTCCCACTAAATTGAAAACAAAGTCGTTTGAAACGTGAGAAAGTGTGTTTTACAAATGATGAGTTTGATGTGAGCTACAATCCTTAACTGGGTTGGGAAGAGAGATCCTAAGGATTAACACAGTTTCTCTGAGAAAATAATTAATGGTGGAAAGACCATCACCAATGGAGGCACCAGAACTGAAATTCCAAGTCACACCAAAGCTTTGTAGAAACCCATTATTCCTTCCCGTGAAGGAATATTCTAAATATCCCTCTGAAATCCGGAGAAAGCCATAGTTGGACCTGGTTCGCGGGACACAAATCATTCCCTGGACTGGCCGGCGCTGTGGTTGGATCTCCCTGAACTAAGCCATCTTACCAGTGCGTTGTAGTTCTAGAGGAGCTCAGGCACCAGCAGAGTTCTGATTTGCTTAATCATCCAATTAAAAATGTTGCATTGGTTTTGTATGTAAATCTCAATCGTATTTACTGAACAAACATTATAGATGACTGAGAAACCCAAAACGTTTGTAAGGAGATAAAATGCTAACTGTGTGGGAAAGCACTGAAGACATGTGATGTCTGTGAGTGAGATAAAAACTTTGTGAGGAATGATTGTTCACGAAGAATGTATTCTAGCCTCTGATAACTGAACTATGGTTTATTAACCGGGAAACATCTTGCGGTGGGAACATGGCCTACAGCATTAGGCCAATGAGCTTTAGACATAAATGATATATTCGCTATTTCATTGGTCTGGGCTTCACACACAGTAACCAGTTAGGTATAAATACAGATAGTTCAGCGTTTGTATAGAATGAACTGGTTCAGGCAGAAACAAATGAGAAGTGAATCCATTGAATCTGCTGCCTTTCTCCCAGGGACAGGTCACTGCACATTTCTCCTGATGGTTGGTTACTACTTTATCCAGAAACGTTGATACTGTTTATTCGAACATGTATAACCATTAACTTGATAATTTGTGTAATAAAGGAAACGATTATTTGAATCTGAAACCATTGTCAACAATCAAATTCTTTCCAAAACATTATCAACTAATTTCCTTATCACAATTCCCTACAAGTTAGTGGTCTACTAAAGAAATAAGACCTAACTTTCATATACTTCAGCTCATTTTCTAATTCAGGTTACTTACTCTGTTATCCAGGATTCCCTCTGTGACTTCTCCCATTTCGGACAGGATAGCAAGTGAATCCGGAATTCCGAATTTAGACCCTGACTTTGGCTTATCGCTGCAGAATTCACTCTGGAAGTTTAACAATATACCTTTATGTAACTCAGGAAGATTATCACACACATTCCAGCAATTTGCAGACTTCCAAAAATAGGTAGAACCAGAATATTACGTAATAACCTTCTTTGCTCACTGTAAAAGCCTCTAAAGTTGACCCAATAATGAGGTGGTCAGAATTCAAAACATTCGAGAATGAGGTACAATAGCCAATTTCATTGCATGGTCATGAAGCAGGGCAGATTGCTCCCTTATTGCCAGCTGGTTCCGAACTAAATAAAATGACTGTCTGCTGGATCTTGAGGGCATTGCTGATATCACTTCCTGTGAGCTGCACATGCATAAAACAGGAAGCAACAACATTGGCAACCTAATGATACGAAAGCCATTTTAGCGCAAGACAATTTGATTTGTTTTCTACAAAATGCTTGTTGCTCTCACACAGACACACACACACACTACACACTTCATTTGCATTCCAGACTTGAGCTGTCGCCTTGAAACCCCATTGGTACGTACCAAATCCTGCATCTCCTTCTGCATCCTCCCCATGGCTTTCCGTGAACCAATGGCAAATACATAGGTATCCATGTCTTCTTCATTCATTGTGACTTTGATTTGCTGAAAATTAAACCAAAGTGTTTTGTTTTCTTGGGAGACATCGTACCCGTCAGAAGCCTGAATGTATGTATGCTATTGCATTTTGATGGTCAACAACAATTTGCATTTATATAGTGCCCTTCATGCAGGGTACTGTCCTGGAGCGCTGGGACCTGGTTGGCTATAGTTTATTTAGGTAACAAACCACAACAATTGCTTATTCTCAGTATACAATACTGTTTACACTCAGTATAGCCTATTCCTGCCTAATTACTTACAGTCCAATTCTACATCTTATTTGCCTCAGTTTTAGTTTAGCTGTCTCACTCCTCATCCTTAGGGTCAGACAAATAGTGATAGCAGAGGAGTGAGAACATGTGATAGCTGGGTGGCTGATTTTAAATTAGGGATTGTCTGGAACAAAGGGTCTGGATCTTTCCCACTATTTAGGAACTTATGGACATCATTTGGGAAACGCATGACCACTTGTGGAATACTACCCAGAACAAGTGAGCTTCTCCAGGAGAGAACAATACTCAATAAACCCCCAAATATATATATATATATATATAGACATATATATACACGTACGTACCACCTGGTCACTGGCTGGCCTCATCATGCGTGCGAGGACATTCAACAGATCTTGACGTTTCAAAAACTAAAATAAAGAAAAAAGGATTTGTTTTTTGGGTTTAGCTGGTGACTGAGATGTGATTTAAATAATCATTGGAGAAAGTTGTCACAGACAAATTAGTTTTATTCTCCCCCATTTTGTACTGATTAACAATGTTAACACTGTTCGTGCAGTATCAAACTGAAGTATTCTCAATTATCAGCAATAGTCCTGCTGTCAAAGCAACTAAATACTACATTGCATCTTTTGAGTATTTATTGCAATTAAATAAGTCATATTAACCTTGAATTACTCATAGAATAAGCCATATTATGTGCAGTTCTTGGCACTTTTGAAATGCAAGATTCAGAGGCTACCGGGATGATTCTGTACTTGCTGCTAAATTATGAGTCTAATTCCACCTTCATCTAACTTGTACACATATGCACTTTCTACCTGGGGTCAACAGATAAGAGACAAGCCCAGAATCGCTGGCCATTTGTAGCACAGGTAACATGACCATTGTATGATCTCAACTTCTATCTCGGCTGAGATCAGTTAACTCATCACAAACTAAAATTAAATTCTGAACTTTGATCTGTATGACTTGACTTTACTCACTGGAACATCAATGGAGCTCCAGCAATGTCACTGTTAACTTGTAGCATCAAAAAAATTGAACTGAGAAAATGGAGCATTGACTTTGAATATCACTTTCCCAATACCTTCAGCTGAATCAACATCCCTCACAGCACAGACGCCCTGAGCACCACAGGTTATAAATGTGTTCGTTTTCCTGGTTTAGCTCCCAGTACTGATGGGCTCTTTATTCATCCCGTCATCTCCTGCAAATAGGCATATATTTAATGCCGCAGTTATTAACAAAATTGCGACATTACAAGAAAAAAAACCGATGCGACTAGAAGAGCATTTTGCCAAATAACCAAATATACAAAAGACTGGGTTTATGTGAGAGCTACATGAAAATATGTAAGTCTCAACAACATCATATGAAGGTGAAGGCAGGAATGGTACCAGTGCTGGTGGGAAACACAAAGCTTTGGAAGTGAACTCTGGTGTCAGGAAAATTACTGGGCAATCCCACTCTGAGCAACTGGTGAAGTTGCTGAATCAAATTCAATGATTATTATTGTTTCGGTATGATAATTAAAAGTGAAAATACCAGCACTTTGCTTAAAACGATCTGCACTACAGCACAAATTCACTTATAATGTGGTTACATTATGTAAAAATGTAGTTACACTCTTGGAACCTGTTCCCCTTCCACAGAGAGCAGTCAGTTAGTCCATTTGTTTTCCACGGCCAGTTGTTTTGCACTAAAAAGGTGGGCTTGCAGGTCATCAGGTTACCTTTGTCACTTATTTGCTTTGCGTTTCTTGCACAAAGCTGGATGTGACACTAGAATTGCTTAAATTGCTTACAGCGGCTTCCACTATATTTAGTTTCCATTTTGCACTTTTACTATGCAATTTCAACAGCATCAGGTATCAAATTGACTCAGTTGCGAGTACTCACAACTCTGGATCAGTTCATGAACACACCACCGTCTAAACCTGGCTCATAATCTAGCTCAACAACCAGCGCAGTATTATCAGTTATGCACTGCATCCTTTGGATGAAACATTAAAACCGACCTTCCATCTGCCTTTTATTCAGGTGTACATTAATGATCTTGTCTCTGAAATGCTGTAATCTCTCCAGCGCCTTGGGACATCCTCCCGACATGAAAGGTGCTATACAAATGTAATCTTGTTGTTGTTGTATTCAGACAAAGAAGGAAGTTTCTCAGAGTATCCCGACCAGCAATCTTCCAGATTAACTGCTCATTTAATAATAATAATAATTCTTGCATTTGATATAGCGCTTTTCACGTCTTCAAGACGTCTCAAAGCGTTTGACAGAATATACTGTAAAGTGAATTGACCGTATATATTTGTGGGCAAAACGTGGCAGCCAATTGCGCAGAGCAGCGTCCTACAAACAGTCGTGGATTGAAATGACCAATTTTATCATTTTTTCTTGAGGGATTATTATCAGACATGTGGAGTAAGGAAACTTGCCCAAGGTTTCACCCTGCCAGGAATCAAACCCAGGTCTCTCGCTTGTGAGGCAAGAGCTCTAACCACTGAGCTACAGGACTCCACATTTGTCTCATAGCTGTTTGTGTGATTTTCTTGGTGCTAAATAACTGCTGGATTTGCCTACAAAAAGTCACTATATTTGACAATAATTGTCTGTGAAGTTGCTTGTGGTGTTTGTTGTTGTAGATTTTGCAAATGCAAATTCTTTCTTCAATTACAATCACAACAACTTGTTACAGATCCTCTCAATACTCACCGACAAGTGCAAAGTTACTCTCAAGCAGTTGCTTATGGGAACTGAACCACGCTGCAGCCAGCCGGTTGTTTTTGTTTTTGCCGATGATGTAATTCATGATGTAAGCAAGGAGCCCAGTGACCATCAGAATCTCCATGTAGTAGCTCTCCCAGCTGTTCTGGAGATGATGGGACCTGAACCACGGGCCAATGACAGCAGTTGTTAGAAATTTAGAGAAATTGCAAAAAATGTCCAGGGACACAAGCTCCTCCTCCTCATCACTATCTCAGTGTGTCGACACTCCGCTTAACATAACATCACAGGTAGGAGCAGTAGGCCATTCGGCCCTTCGAGCCTGCCCCGCCATTCAATCATGGCTGATCTTCTAATCTAACTCCAGCTAATAACCTGACCCTGCCTTATCCCATATCCCTTAATCCTTTTGCAATAAGAAATATATCTATCTCAGTCTTGAATATGCTCAAGGAATATGTTCCGCTTGTTTTCAGCATGAAACAAAGACAACGGAGGGAGTTCTGCCATAATAACATATACATTCAGATTTTTAATATAAGAGATAATCCACGTGCAAATAGGCACAAAGAGTTCTACCTTTTAAAAACAACCTTTTTTTGTAAAAATGAGTGAATTTTGACTTGAAATAAACAGTCTGTCAGACCAAAGGTGATAACAACAACTTGCATTGATATTGCGCCCTTCACACTGGGTAGCATCCCGGTTTATATAGCGTCTATCCAACGAGTGTATGTATATATACTTGGAGTGAGTACTGGAATGTTTCAGCGCTGATAGCATGCTAACATTAACTATCCAGGTTCACACATAAAAGAATTTCATTTAGGGTGAAGGTCAAGTGGGTGCTCGATATGTGGACCTAAAGTCCAAGAGTCTGGTGTTTCTCAGCGCGTCCGAGCTCGCAAAATATGTCCTACATTGAACGGTGATTTTGCTATCTCCG